TAATTATTGTAGCAATTGAATTGTCGAATAAAATGCTACAACAATAGGAAAGAAGTCCACAATGTTTAGTATATTTTACTATTGTTTGTAGAAGTAGAAATTTATTACAATTATCGTAATTACTACTACTAACTTCTGTAAAAATTTGTCCAAATATTAATAATTATCTCTACAAAAAATAGTAATTTTCTCTACAAAAAATAGTAATACTTTACATCCCTTCTTCAAAAATATTCTATAATATTGTAGAAATTCTAAGTCATGTGAACAAAACAGAATTCTGCTATTGGCCAACGTTTTCTGACGTCGATCATAAACGGCCAGACAGCAGTAGCCGTTCGCCATCTTCACATAACAAAGCATGGTACATATACGAGTACCTATAACACATTATTATATTATAAGCACCGATGCGTTTGAGAAAATTTTAATAATAAGTACATTTAGTATTGTTTCTGAATAATTTACCTTTAGATAACTAATTTAAATAACCTTAGTAGATTATTTTAAAAAAATAGTTGTGGCCAACGATCGAATGTTGTGCCCAACGATCGAATGTTGTGCCCAACGATCGAATTTTGTGCCAAGTTCAATGATGTTTTTTGTCTTAATTGTGACATACCTACTTTCTCATTTTTGTTAGTTATCTGACTTAGTCATTTAATATCCAAATCAGTGTAAAGGTGATAAATATCCCCGTTTTAAGGGTATGAACAATTCAATTGGTATTAATTTTTATTTCATATTTTTCAGATGCAGAAAAGCCAACTGAGACTGAGGGCGCTATTATAACTGTTATTTATTACATAATGTAATTAAGAATTTGTATCTTTTATATTAAAACAATAAATTGAATATTTTATTAAGGAACATTTTTTTCTAGGTTATAATTATAATAATTATGGAATACTACTACAAATTTTATTAAAAATTACTACAATTTGTATAAATTTTTACTATTTATTGTATAAAATTTTCGTATTTATTTTCATAAAACGCAATACATTTTTAATATAAATTCATACAATGAATAGCAAAAATTATAACAATTTGTAGAACAATTCTTATGATGCATTTGGATCTTTTTACTAAATATTGTAGATAATAACTCTACAATACATTCTCCACAAATATTTGGAAATTTTTACTACAAATTGTCCCTATCCCTATATGTACTATTTATTGTAGAGAAAAAATCTACAATTGTAGAAATTTGTTCTACAATTTTTTTCCGTGCGTATTATTATTTAAAAAAATATATAGGTATATAAAATTTTTATTACCATAAAAATAACGAAATTTATCTTTCCGTTCAACCGCATTTCGTAGAGATAAAATTTATTTCAATTTTAAAAATCCCTAGAGTTTGGCCTATATATCTGGCTGCAAACGTACAAAGAGGATTTCGCTCCAAAGTACACCTGATCAGAATAAACACACTTGCGCTGTTCACGTGCTTCCAGCTGGGGATGCTGTAGATGGATAATATAGAGAAACAAGCCGTTGCCATAGAAACTGAAAGCCAAGAGGAGTTAAAAAAAGGTTGGTGTATTGAAAATATTAAAATTGATGGTCTACATGTAAAATTTTTTAGTTAATGGGTTGTTTACCAAAGAGGATAAAATTTTAAAATTTCGATTAAAATTATTTAATTTTGTTAAAATAGGTTCCACTTTGTTTAATACGTTAAATGCATTCATTCAAACCAAAAATCAATCATGCACGTTCCCAAGTTGCAATCAATGAATTTGAAAGTAGATTGAATAGGTTGAATAGAGAGGGAGAACTCAATATTCATTAAAACAAACTGTGAAAATACTCGAAAGAATATTATTAAAAAAATGTTTAAATATTATATTACATACCGAGCGGTGAAATACTCTATTACAGACGAGGCTACGGACTCGAGCAGCTTTTAACAAAATTTAAAATAAGAAAATCTAAAAATAAATCGATTCAATATTAATTTGGTTTTGAATTTTCGCCAAAATTTTATTTTAAATTTTTTACTAATTTTATTAGTTTTTTTTGGGACACCCAGTATGTCTACTATCGTATAAAATGTTTATACCTTAACTATCTTATTACTTAAATAATGAATAGAACAAATTATGTTGTTTTGTATCTTTTATAGGTTGAGGGGTTTTTATACTTTTCATTTATACCTAACAAAATGAAACTGAACGCTATTAACTAACAACAAATTATAATCTTTTATTCGCTTATTGCGAAGTCATGGTAGGGGAAGCAAAAGCGATACTAGTGCTAGCTGCGGATAATTCGTGCATTTTAGGGCGATATTTTGTAATTTTGGAATATCAAATACACTTATACATTTTACCTTTTTTTTTTTCAAAAAAGTAGGTAAGAACAATACAATAAACAACCGGAGTTGCTGTGTTGAAAATTGTAGAAATACTAGCAAAAAAAAACAGTGAAAATTCTAAAAATGTTCAGTACCAAAGTGGAAATTTCATCAAAGAAATAAATGGATAGGTGTACAATAAGCAGAAGAAGAAGAAGAAGAAGAAGAAGAAGAAGAAGAAGAAGAAGAAGAAGAAAAAGAAGAAGAAGAATAAGAAAAAGAAGAAGAAGAATAAGAAAAAGAAGAAGAATTACCTTTATTTTTTTAATAATAACAGTAGTACTGGAAATAGTAGACATTAGAAACTTGAAAGGATTTAAATAAACAATAACTTATCATTTTATGATGTTCTTTAGCATCCCTTTATTCTTAAATGTTCACCAAGGACTAGATTTCAAGGATTTCTGCCTTTGATTATTGTATGTGGTTGGAATGCAGTTTTGTGACTTACTGATAGGAAACCAGTTTTAATCATTTATTCTGTTTTCTTTCAAACAAAAATGAAAATATAAATAACAATATACATTTTAACTTCACGCTATTATTTAATGTTTTGTTTTTATTTTGACAGAATAGGTTAATTCTTCAAAGACATCTTACTAGATTAGGCAACTTTTCATACATTTTCCCGAAAATACTGTTGCCTGCCTATATTTTATTATTGATTTTTATTAATTATACTTAATTTTTTTTTTATTTAAGCGATAAAAATATATGATATTAATAAATTAATGTTTTACTTGTTTAACAAATCCATATACGTTTACTAAAACTAAAATGTACTTTTTAAATACGAATTCTAATAAAAATTGTATTGTCAGCATACGCAGAAATAGCCCATTAGTACCTAAATAAATTGGCGCTGCTGTCGCGCACGGAGCGAATACATTCAAAACATTATTTTCAAACTATGTACGTACGTACCAAGCGCACACTGCAGACAAATTATTTTTTTGTCCATCAATCCAGTTATTTAGCTCATTAACAAACTAATTTTCAAACGTTTGGGTTACAAATATAGTAGCGCTATTCGAAAAGTCAATGTTGCCTTTTTTTAATTATCTGTATGCTTGAAATACACATTTATGCGTCTTCGTAAATGATCAAAACTATAATCGGAATGCAATGTGTGCATTCACTGTTACGAACCGGTCGAAGCGCGTAGTCTTAGACCTATCTACGATTGTCTGAACTAAAATGTTGGTAAATTAGGGTTTGCCGCGTATAAATGAAAGTTACTTGGATTTGAAAAGATGTTTATATATTTAAAACCGTTTATTATTTAATTTTTTTACACTATATTCACTAATTTATTTCCAACTTACTTATTGTATAACGTAATATATCACTAATTTATCTCAAATACTTATTTACTAATTCATATGGACAATATTAATCTGCTAAAACGATCTATACCTATACTTGAACTGACTCAGTGGATTCGATTACAAATGATGGTGGATTCTAACAAATTTTGTCAAATTATTACAAAATTTGGCGGATTCGCTATTTCTGACAGTGCCTTCGCCAAAAATTGAAATTTCGTTATTACTCCAGAATACTAGGTCGGATAATTTACTTCGTCTGTCGTTGTCCATAGGCGTGATATAAGGGGGTTTTGGAGGTTTATTATTCTATCAAACATTCTTGGTTCTCAGAAAAGTGGAGGCTTTAAGAGGTCCAAATAAGGCCAAATAAGGACTTAAAGGTGCAAAGCATGACCGGACTGGTTAAAAATAGCTTGCACGTCAATGCTTTAAAAATAGTTTTGCATATACAGGGTGTTACGCTTTTGCTTGGCAAATATTTGTTGGACCACGATAATAATTTATTTATTGTGATTACGAAAAAACGTTAGTTGAACCATTGGAATAGTTAAGAAATAAAACTTCAAAGAAAAATAACTTTTTTTTATAAAGCAGTCAAAAATATGATGAAAAAAAAATCAATAATATATATAAATGAGACAAAATTTTAATTTTTCTTTTGGTTTTGTCTGACTTTTTCGAGGATTTCAAATCTCTGTTTGCATATTTAAGAGTATTAAAAATTCTGAGTCTTATAAATAATTTAATGGCGTACATTTTCGCAAATTGTTGGCAAGGATGACCAAATTCTATTTTGCTCATCTCAAAAAGGCATGCGTTGCAAATTCCAGGCTTAGTTGACAAACTATCAAATAGAGATATTTTTTCTAATTTGAACACATAAAAGAGAAATTTACGCAATTTTCGCAAGAGTGGATATGTAATGATTTTTTGATTAAATAGACATAGTTAAATGCATTTTAAGTGGTCACATTTAGCTCCCTGTAGTCACATTCAGAAATCGTTATTGCCCCAACTGATTGTTTTGAAATATATTTAATATTCATTAAGCGGAGAACTTGTTTTCCTAAGGGAAAAACGAATCCCGGGATTCCTTTCCAGTGTGTGCCCACTGCCGCTAGTGCCCACGAGCCGCCACTGTTTATACATTTCTCTTTGCCGATCAAAGGCGATTTTAAATCAGATACTAGGTCTTGAATATGATTGACTACACTGATGTAAATCAAAAACAATGACGTCATATTGAATATAGTCTTGAAATGGTCAAGTTTAACATGACTACAGTAAAAACGTGGTCATCACAGGTATGAAATGTCAAATGAAATGACAAATGTAAAACTTTTACTTTAGTCATTAAATTATTGTTTGGTTGTGTTTATGAAGGGGCATTTTCGTACTTTGGCGTAACGCGTGCCAACAATTACGCATAAAGCGAGACGTTTGGTAACCTAGCTGAGTACCTAGATATGGACGCAATTAAAGGTTTTTGTAAATGAAAAGCCAATTTATTTTTGAAGATAGCTAAGATGGCAAAAGGTTTAATAAAAGAAACTGCAACACCAATTTTCTCTTCAACCGTGATCAGTACACAAAACACATATTTATTAACCAACTTTAAAAAAGGAAGAGGTTCTCAATTCGTCGTAATATATTTTTTATGTATGTTCAGCGATAATTCTTTAACACGTTGTCCGATTTTAATAATTCTTTTTTCTTTCCAGTGTGTGCCCCACTGCCGCTAGTGCCCACGAGCCGCCACTATTTATACATTTCTCTTTGCCGATCAATTTGTTTAAATATAACCACATCATACGTATGAGTACTGCAGTGAGTCTAATAATGAAAAAAAAAATTTTTTTTTTCATAGCGGTTACCCGCGATCAACCTAATAGCTACTCCCTTTAATGCATATCAAACTCCGAGTCAGTGCTCAAGTAGCAAGTAGATTCTCATATGAGTACGCACTTGCTTGTTTGAGATTCTACTTACATTTTTATGCATATAGAAGGGATTGCTCACTTCGGATTTTTGAAAATTGAGTTGGCTGAGCTTGCACTCAACTTTATGCATATTTTCCATTAACCATATGGTACAAATGTAAAATCACTAAATAAATATTATAGGTAATTATATTAAATAAAAAAAATCATATTGGTACTTTTGATTCTTATTTTCCCTTTTTTTTAAACAGAAGTTTTTGACAACAAGTGAATATTGTCTCGTCAGGATTATATTCTGGACAATTTTAATAATACAACTATCCGATGTCTTTAATAATAATTATCAACATTTCTTTAACGACGTCACCGAAAAATCTCATCACGTCGTCACAGCTCCAACCCTTTTCACCCAACCTTGGTCGTGCCGTCTCCAGGCAGGCTCACGCTCGCGCTCGTCAGCGAGGAGGCGAAAGGCGGCAAAGCAAAAGGGCCAAGGGCCCGCTCGCACGGCCTCCCACGACCGGAGTCCGGAGTAGCATCAGTCGGGGTGCAGGTGGCACGAGGTGATCAATGCAGCCACAGCGGTAAAATGCGAGGATTCGATGGTGACGGTGAGTGGAGGGCGCCCCCGGCCGTGGCTGTCGTCCCTCGATCCGGAGCTCAGACAACACATCCAGAGCTGCCCGTGTCCCTGCGACCACATGGGATACGGCAACTTCTTAGATTACCAGGTTAGTGCTACTCAGTCTTTACCGTACCTGCAGTTGTTTATGTCTGGATGGATAGAGGAAGTGGAGGGAGGTGATAGGTCAACAGGCAATTAGAAATAATGAAAGATTTATTTTACGAGATCTAGAGTTTCTTTGTTTCTTCTTTCAGAAAATTTTGGTTTTAAAAAATGTGAAAAACCATTCCAAAAAAAATTTTAAGCAATATGGTCATTTAACTAAGAATAACAATTTATTGAATAATTCTTTTTTATAACAATTATTATTGTTTTGAAAATAATCAAGCCAAAGATAAAACAAACCATAAATCTAGAAGTACATAAAAAGTTTTAAAAAAAAACTATTCAAGCGATTGTAATTTATAAATAGTTAGGTGACCGTAAAAAGCAAATTTTCGAAATTTCTCCTTGACATTTTGTGTTTTAAATTTTTTTAAATAGATTTTTCTTTAAAACGCTGAGTAGTAATAGAAAATATTTCATACTAAAGTTGTAGATAACAATATGTTCTACAATTTATTACATTGGGTCACTGTGCTACGAAAATAAATGCAAAAAGTGGAGGGCGCCAAAATTCACAGAAACTCGTTTTACACTTTTTCAACCAAAATAGCTATTTGTGTATTAAGATCAAAAAGTTATACTTTGCCGCTTGAGACAGTGGCAACGAATTTTTCGCACAAAGTGCACACCAGATTTTTCTACGATAGCATTATTTTTTAGAAATAAATATACAAACTGAAAATATCAAATTAATTTAATTGCGAATAGATTAGTTTAAAAGTCTAAAAATTGCATATCGTGTTTGATATATTGCCAACTTCTGAATCTTTCCAGTGGATATTGTTTATAAATATGGTTTTAATTCGCTAAGAACTAATAATTATATTGTGAAAATATGGTAGAATTTTTTTTTTTTACTAAATATATTAATTTGCCTATATGTTCAATTTACATGCTTTTCGCCATGAGAAATGAGGGGAGCAACAAAGCTGTCACTTAATGTCACTTCGCAGAAAACGTCATCTTTTCGGGTATATCTCGAAGCAGAAAAGTCTACTTTAGATGGTGATCGTAGAAAAAATATTGTTTTTCTACGATCACTATCCAAAGTAGGTATTTGCGCTTCGAAATACAAACGCAGAGTTGGCGTTTTCCGCGAAGTGACATTAAGTGACAGCATTATCCCTCGCCGAGCGAAAAACTTGACAGCTTTGTTGCTCGCCTAATTTAAATTAAATATAATATAATAATTCTTTTTAATAAATGATTTTTAAGTTATTTGTACGTAGTTTGATGTTTTTTGTTTTATTATCCAAGTTAACATTGACTTTGAATAGCAACCTCTTTTTTCATAAATAACGTAGATATAAGCACATTATACACTACTTACGTCAAATTTTCAGTTTTTATATTTTTCTTAAAATAATGTGGTCGTAGAGAAAATCTTGCGTGAATTTTGAGCGAAAAATTCGTTGTCGCTTTCGACAGATTGCCGCGCTCCGCTACGCGTCTCGCGGCAACTTTCTATCTCAAACGGCAAAGTATCACTTTTCGCTCTTAATACACAAATAGCTCTTTTATGCTCTAAAATATCTACAAAGTTGATGTATATTTTTTTACAACCAACCGTTTTGGGTCCAGTACCGAGTTCTTCACAATGGTTAAAATGGACCTTACCTGAGAGGTGGGCTAGATTAAAATAAGTAATAATAATGTTTATTTGCATAGAAATATATAGTACATAATAATTAGTAACAACAAATAAACGGAAATACAGTAATGAGATAAAAACCACGAAGTAAAGCAAGTTACTTGTATGTGGCATACTACACATTTTTTAACATTATTGGTATATAAAAAAGTATTTAAACTTACATAAAAATAAAAATATAGAACCTTACTATCTAAAATAATGTAAATAACAAAAATGATAATAATAATAATATAGAGTATATATATATATATATATATATATATATATATATATATATATATATATATATATATATATATAATTAAACCAGTAATTTGTGGGTAATGCAGCAAATGAAAGAGTACTTTTTTAAGTTTATTCCAAGCTTTCGGAAATGTTTATTTCCATCATCAGGGAGACTAAAATAAAATAATACCACATATTATGATAAAGTAAGGTAAAAATTTTTTTACTTACATCTTAATTAAGGTTGTTCATTTTAGTGGTATTATTCAGTTTAGTGTAAAGATACAAAAAGGACAAGCTGAAGTCAATTACAAAATAATATACACAAACAATAACTAAAACTAAAAAAATATAAATAATGAAAGGTCAATTTGACAAGACAAGTAAAAATTTTTATATATTTTTTATATATATATATATATATATATATATATATATATATATATATATATATATATATATATATATACACACAGGGATTTTAAAGACAAATTCTAATTTTCAGTAGCTATATAATATTAAATTAGGGTGAAGCAGCTATAGCTAGGCGATAACGGACGACCAAAAGGCAGGAGTCTAATTATTCGTTTTTATTTTTGACAACTTTAAAATTTGATTTGACAATCTTCCTTTTTCATGATAACATCATATATCCATAACAACTATTGCTTGTTAACTATAGAAGAAGACCCATCAAAAATTTGCATTGTTCGATAAAGCTCTGATGTTTTATGATCCCCTAACTCGGTACAGGAAAGAAGTTCTTCAAACTTTTTTCTTCGCTTATAGAATGTCTAAGTATTAAAATATATTTAATTTTATCGTAATTTTGAATTTCCTGATCTAGAAGTTTGTCCTAAATCGTTAAAATCACCTCTTAAGGCAAAGAAGCTATTAAATGCTGATATTTAGTTGAATCTTGTCGGATATTTCTTAATTTAAATAACATATATGCTTGCATAAACCAAGCCTCTGGACATTGAGCCCAAAAAGGTGTTTATTTAATCGTTTTTATTTTTGACAACTTTAAAATCTGACTTGACAATCTTCTTTTTTCATAATAACATCATATATCCATAACAACTAACTACTAACAACAAGCTCCTACAGATGGATTTTAAACAAATTGCAAGAATCTTGATTTAGGTTCTCGTGGATTCCCTAAATCATATTTCCCACTTTATATAGGACTTACTCCAAAATAAAGTTGTAAATAGTTACCTGCCCCATAGGTCCCTTGCTCCACAAACACTAGAAATTTAGTTTACTAGGTTGGTAGTTGAATCGCCTCCAAGATCTCCAGATTTATCACCATTGGACGTTTTCTTATAGGAGTCATTTATAAAGTGTTATTTATAAGACGAAACCTATTTCTATAGGAGACGTTCGCCACAGAATGGTGGTATCATGTGGCGAAATAACCCCTAAAATGTTACAAAATGTTCGGGAAATTGTCGAAGAAAGATTTTGATACTGTATCAAAGTAAATAGGTCGCAATTTGAACATTTAATTAATTAAAACATTTTTGAAAACTTTTTTAAATTTATTTCATATTTTCAACAGGTTTTATACATTAATTTTAACACAGAACAAAAAACTTTTAGCATGATAGTAAACAGAATTAAAGTACTTTTCAAATGATGTGCACTTGACGCCGTGCTACCTAGTATTCTTGAAAGGTTTGCAACTATGTATAGGTAAATGACCTTACATCAGAGATAACAGGAGATGTAACTTCTAACAAATATCATGCGGTCCTGAATAAGACATATTTTAAGGGACATAGGAGGATATAATATCCGCTGTTGTCATATGCCTATTTCATTATTCTCGTTTGGTTGACAAATTATTTACATTTATTAAAAAAGCTAAAATAATTCAACCTATTTTATTGCAACTTACAAATTTTTTCATTAATTAAATAAAGTTGTATCTGCGTAAAATCCTTCTCTTTATCCCTCTCTTACTTCTTACATTTCGTCTTTTCACCGCGGACCTAAAAATAGAGTGTTATGATTGTCGACTTGATCTTGGTGTCGTGAATATTATATTTTATCAATGAATCTCTGTTATCTCTGCCTTACATCCATGAATTTACGATCAAAAGAAGTCCTTCTTGAACGCAAAATCGACCTATCTCGGGGCTTTTCCAAAAAACCTCTAATGAACTTAGAAATGGAAAATAGCCTCACTCTTCCAAATATATCATATTTTCATGTGCAAAAAATATTAAATAAATTAAATTTTCGTTACATAAAACGTGACAGAAACAGCTTTTTAACAGAAAAAGAAGAAATCATTGCGTGGAGACATGAATATTTAAGGAAAATAGCGGACGCAAGGAATCAGCATAAACAGGTATTTTATTTAGATGAAACATGGGTTAATGCTAAACATACAGTAATAAAAATTTGGCAAGATACCTTCATCAAAACTAAAAAACAAGTCTTTATGGAAGGCGTCTCTTTATGGATTAAAAAATCCAACAGGAAAAGAAAATAATTTAATAATAATTCACATTGGAAGCACCGACGGATTTTTGCCAGATGGTTTATTAATGTTCGAGTCAGATAAACAAAGACTGCCATGAAGAAATCGATGGCCCTATTATTATTATCAGTCCTCCTAAATCCTTGAAGGCAGAATTACTCGTAATAGAAAGACAACATAAAATCAAATTCAAAAAATATAGTATGAACGAGATGTCCCGAGAAATTCTCAGATTGCCTCCTTACCACGCAGAGTTAAATCCCATTGAACTGATCTGGTCACAATTAGAAGCTTATGTTTCTTGGAACAATACAACATTTAGATTACCTGATGTGCGAAATTTTTTTTATTTGATTTTAAGGTGTTATTTTATTGTGTTATTTTATTGTGTTATTTTAATGTAATTTCAAATGTGTTGTGTTATATTAATGTATTATTCTGTTAAATATTTTTTAAGATATGTAAATATTTAACTGACCTGAACTTTTAACGAACTAAATAAATGATTTTTGATTTATTTTTTTTTAAATTATATATAAATCATTCTCATGGTTTTGATTTTATAAAATTTACATAATAAAGGCGAACATTTTTACGTAATTTTCTACTAAATTACTTTCTCTGGCCTGACGGCAACCTAATCTTTTGGAATTTTACCAAATGCATTTTGTTATATAATACGTATACGACCTCTATATACCGAGTGTGCCACAAATTTTTTTTGTCAAGAAATAACTCGAAACAATTTTTGAAGTACATTTGCTTGGTCTTCCTACAGATATTATTATATTTAGAATTTTATACGATTTTGATGGATGCTCAAAGCAAAGATTTCTCTAAAGATTGAATTAACATGTCGAAATCCATCGCAACCAAATGAATGGGATAAGGGATTTCTCAGCATCCAAACAATTTTGCAAAGGAGTGGTAAGATTTTCTCTTGAACAAAACCCAGTGGAGTGCTGCAAGGGTTAGTCAGTCCTTGATCCCCTACTTTTCTATGCGATGATATTTCTGTGCATACAGAAGGGTGGTACTCCATCTACGGGATAACAAAATTTAAGCTAATCAATCAGTGGATTGGAGATCAGATTAGTTATTATGCGTCTTTCTTCATATCGGTAAAAGCAATCTGAACTCAGCTTACCATATTAATAATTATGCCTTAAAGATGGTAGCGTCCCAAAACGAACTTGTTCTATCATCGCTAAAAAACGTGATAAAAGAGCCATCCCCGACGCATGGTTTAATACATTACGACAGCTAATAGACCGTCAGATAGTGACTGATTTAGGTACCCCATTTTCGCATACAAGCTTCGAAGAAGGTTAAAAAGTACATCGATGTTGAGTAAAATGGCCCCTGGGGATAACATGGAAAATTTGATTTTCCTTAACAGAAAAAAAGGTGTTTTTGTTCATATTTCGACGCAAGCCGTGTTCACTGAATGATTAATTATTAAAACTTGGCTTCAGAAAACCAAAGGCTTTAGTGTTGCAAGTGGCCAAAGAGTTAAAATAAGGTCGTAATTTTGTAAAGAAAAATTGAGATTTTAACTGATTTTTCCACACAAGCCAATCGAGAGTATGAATACGTATATCGTCACTAGCTCAAAAACCATATTAGCTTGAGTGGCGCGAGTGACAAGTCCATTTTGGGGTTGGAAAACTACACAGAATTTTTTTTTATTTTTTAGTTATTTTCCCATAAAAAATAATGGCTTGAGTGTAGAGCGTGGTCTTCAAATTTTCAGAACATAGGAAAGTTGCTGGAAAATGTATGCAAATTGCCACCATTTTCTCACACAAGCCGTTTGATATATGCTTAGAAAAAGTGATTCTAAGACTAAATAAACAAAAGGCTTGTGTGTCGGACATGGAGCATATTATTTATCTAGAAAAGAGCTGACAAAAAATTTACAAATAATATTTATGAAGGGTTATTATTATTAATTATTCGGTGATTATTCATATACTATTTTAAGTTTCTCTAATATTTTGACTTTATTAACGTTGAATAGTATTCAAGGAAAGTGATATCTATCTTTTTTATATTTTAGGTGTAAATTTTAATATGAATTTTGAGCTGAAGTAACAATATGTTTATTTTGTAGAAAATTTATATATTCTTTTAAATGGTTATTAAATATAAACTTTAAAATACCTGTTAAATAATATTAACAGATTCGTTACAAAGATATGTTGGTCCATTTTTGAATTATTATAAAATTAATGTATGTATAAAATAAGAATGCAGCTACTAAACATGAAAAAGTAGATATCCTAGAATTTAATAATGACAATCAAGTATTCTATGGAATAGACACTTCGTTAAAACAATTTAAATTTTATTAATATGAAATATTAAAGCAATCAAGAATGTCATAGGATAAAACTTTTAACGGTTCAAAATGATTTTCTTAAAGTAGATTAGAAAATGTTGATATACCTATATGATTTTGATAGGAATATAATATTATGTTAAATTATTTCACTAACTTAAACATACAAATTATCGGATTAAATAATTATTGTGCATTATTAATTATTCTTATTTTTATTAAACTTTTTTTGGTCAAAATTGAAGTCACAGGTTATGTAAATTTTTACAATCATTTGAAAGTGCGTTAAGTTAATAAACATTTAAAATGTATAAAATTAGTCGTTAAAATTAACTAAATTCATTACCAATATTTTTTAAATAAATTGTATATTTTTTTTATAAAAACCATAATATGAAGTCCCATATTCTGCGCTTTATTATCATACTATAAAACATTATAACTTATACGAGAAGGAAATGTATGCTAAATTATTCATTTAAAATAATAACCCTGCATAAGCATTTCTACATTTTTGACAGATCTTTTTTAAATAAATAATATGTTCCATTTTCAACACGTATGCGCCAAACGGCTTGTGAAGGAAAATGGTGAACATTTCTAGATTTTTTGTCAGTTTTTGTTAAATAAATTACATATAATATATGATGACTGATGACCATGTCCGACACTCAAGCCTTTTGTCATATAGTCTTATAATTTTTGATTATGCGGCAACACTGATAGGTTTATGTATTTGTTTAACTGTAATAATTTTTCATCGTATAGTGTAAATACCCGTTCAAAATGTTCGTTTGCGAAATCACTGCATGTGACTAACTGACTAACTAAAAATTGGTGTAAATTGTCTGTTTTCCAAGGCGTTGTTGTCACGTCTTCTGGACAATTTGAAGAGCTAATTATTATATATCGCAACCTACTATTCATAATATGCCTCCACAAATATTTTGTCACTGTTGTAAAAAACAGGTGAAGATCTAAAATTTGTTGATTGTGCAGTTTGCAAAAATCACTTTTACTATTCCTGCGTAGATTTGAATTCTACCGATCTAAAAGCAATTAAAAATAATAAAGCTAATATAAAATTCACTTGCAAAAATTGTTCAAAGATAGGAGATATTATTGATGATCTGAAGGGTATGATTTTGGACCTCCAGAATGAGATAAACAATTTAAAAAATCAATCCACAATTGATTTTGAAGATATTGTCCAAGAACTTCAAGACACGAATTCACGTAAACAGAATCTTATCATTTACGGAATGGTGGAAGTTAAAAACTTGTCCAGGAAAGATCAAATTATTTCCGATAAAAATAAAATTAAAAATATCTCTCCTAAAGTGGCTACTACATCTAATTCGACCAGATTAGGGAGGTTTGATGCGACAAAAACCCGTCCAAGACCAATTAAGGTAATCCTAAATAACAAAAACGAAGTTCGCTCGTGTATACGAAACGCGTATAAACTAAAAACTCAAAATACTTTCTCCCGCATCAACATCTCTATGGATCGCACTCCTAAACAAATTGAATACTACATAAAACTGAAAAAAGAGATGGAAGAACGTGTAAACCAAGGCGAAACCAACTTTAAAATAAAATACTTGAAAGGCTCGCCAAAGATCGTCGTACAGGAAAACTAAACAACAGAAAATCGTATAGTTGTCTACAAAATGTAAGAGGTTTAAATAAAAAATAAACGAATTTTACTCTTCAGTTACTCTTGCTGATTTGGATTTAATTGGTTTAATTGAGACTTGGCTAACACATTAATAACATTCTATGGTTACAAAAACTTGCATGAAAAAAAACTAAAAAATCACAAAAAAATTGCGGTAATTTTTCCGACTCCAAAATGCACTTATCCTTTCGCGCCATTCAAGCCAATATGTTTTCGGGCTAGTGACGATGTATGTTTTCATACTTTTGACAGGCTTGTGTGGAAAAACCCTTTAGCCACTTGCAACACTTAAGCCATTGGTTTTCCAAAGCCAAGTTCTATTAATTAATCATTCAGAGGAAATATGAACAAAAAACACCTTTTCTTTCTGTTAAGAAAAAGCGAATATTTCATATGTTATTCCCAGGGGCCACTCGTAAATTTCCTTTCATTCTACTCAACATCGATGTACTTTTTAATCCTCTTCTAGGCTTGTATGCAAAACTGGGGCACTTAATTCAGTCACTATCTGACGGTCTATAATGGCTTATTGTTGCTGTGATAAGTTAGATAAAAAAAAAAAGAATGATAATAACTCTGATTTATTTACTTGCTAACTTCCAGAGCAATTCGCTATTTTGTAATTCAGTAAGAAGGCGATGCTTCTCATTCAAAAAAATTTCGACCACTGCTCGAAGTTCAAAAAAGCGCTGAAGGATATTTCCGCAACTAAGCCAACGTACGGCAAGTATAATATGGTCCTATCTCTTCAATAAACTCGCGGAATTTTCGGTGATTCAGCCCATTGTTGTGAAACTGAAATTTTCTGCCGAGTTCGAATTCGAAATCTTATATTCAAATTAACAATTCGAATGTTGGAGTTTTATGTTCTAATGGGAAAATGGTTAAAGCAGTGTGTGTGTAGAATTTTTTCAAGTTTTTATTAAATGTGTTTTCACTTTGGGAGTTCAAAAATATTTTTCGTTATATCGTAGGGTAATGTTGTAATTCATTTGGGGTACTCCAAAGAATTTATAAAAACATTCACTTTGTGAAATTCATCTGGCAACCATTTGGACAGGACTATCGCGATAATGGTTGATACGAGTTTATACTGAAAACGAAATATTGAAAATGTCGTAAATTTCACCCCATATTTGTTAAAGTTGATATATAATTATATAAACCGGACATATAGTCAATATTATTCCGAGTTATTCCTTGGTGGATAATAAAGTTTATTTGCTGCAATAACTTCATAATAAATCAGCCAGCTAAGTTTTGTATATTAGTTTATATACTTAATAAACTCTTAATTATCCGCTATTTTCACAGAGATGAAACATTAAATTAATTTAGTACATTTTGATGGCCGTAACCGTATTCTGGAGAAAAATAATAAATTTTATAGTTTTTGGAATTCTTAAAAAGACCTTTGTATGTTTTCGAGATTCATACTTTGATTGTAGTACTTTGGATATCCTATTATTATGAGTGAACCAATATTTCAAGACCACCACATACGAATATGTTTGTACATACGAGGTATGTCTCAAAAGTAATAAAAATAATTTATTTTAAAGTGTTTTGTTAAATGAACCTACAAAATTAAATCGTCTCCTTCAAATTATACTCCTTAGAAATGCACATATAGTTCTCCATTCCTAGTAACAATTCTGGAAGTCTTGTTCCATTAGGCTGCATCGTGACTCTTTGAATTTTATTTATTGATCTGTAATAAGAATCTTTTATTTTCCGCTTAAGCTTTGGCAAAAAAAAATTAACACATTGAGCCATATCTGGACATATCTGGCAATGTCAGTTCACACACGCAAAATTCTTTTCCAGTCATGGCTCTATGTGATTATTATCTTTTGCCAACGTTTAAGCGGATATTGAAAGATTTTCATTACGGAACAATAAACAACATCTAAATAGTCAGGATTCAGGTTCTAAACAGCCTAACAATACAAGACTTCTAGAATTGTTACCAGGAATGGAAAACTTACCGATGAGCATTCTTTGAATGGAAAATATAATTTTGTGGGTACATTCAATAAAACACTTTAAAACTAATTATTCTCAGTACTTCTGAGACATAACCTCGTAGGTGGTTCAAAATCTAGGGTGGCTATCAAAATTTGACTCATTTCACCGTGTAAACGCTATATTAGTAATGACGAAATTTGTGTTTCCCTGACAATTATAGTGACAGTAGACTTAAAAATAGAGGTTATATGTATTCATTAATATTGTATTTCTATTATTTACAAGATAACAAGATTGTATTCATTTAAATATTAAAAATATTTTTGTTATATTTACCTTTAAACTACTTTTTTACAACCTGCAAACAATAATAAAAAAAAATCTAGAAAAGTATGGCAAATTCATTGACAGAATGGCATGTTTTTGCTAAAAGTTAACTGCCAGTGGAACACAAATTAGATCAAACTAATGTAACTAATATTTTTTCTACATCACTGAATATTAGCTTATCTACGTACAGATTAGAAAACGAAAAAATATGCTATTGCCTCCAACTGAACGAATATATTTCATATCCATTCTAGGTAGTAAGAACACTGCAAAAAAATAAAATCCACCAATCACCGTTCATATTTTGATCAACCGACTGCTATTATTTTTAAAATTTTAAACATTTGACAATTCTGTCAAACTAATTGTCAGTATATTTTGTAGTTATTGAGATTAAATATACACTAAAATGGGTTATCCTTGTGTAGAATCTATAAATAATAGCATTTTTCTACATCCACATGGAAATTACCTTATCTACGCACAGATTACAAAACGAAAAAGTATGCTATTGCCTTCAACTGAACGAATTTATTTCATATCCATTCTAGATAAAGAGAACACTACAAAAAAAAATGAAATCCGCCAATCACCGTTCATATTTTGATCAACCGACTGCTATTATTTTTAAAATTTTAAATAAGTGACAATTCTGTCAAACTAATTGTCAGTATATTTTTTAGTTATCGAGTTTAAACATACAATAAAATGGGTTATTTGTGTGTAAAATCAATAAATAATAGCATTTCTTTTTTTTATTTTGTCTATAATTATAAATAATTTGTTAATTTAAATAAAACTATATGAAGTCAATTTAATTACGAGTATTAAAGCAACAAAAATAAAAGAGTAGGGGGTCTTGTGGTTAACGTTCTTGCCTTCCACGCAGAGGATTGAAGTTCAATTCTCGGATGGGGAAAAATGAAATTAACTTTTTTTTAAATTTTTTTTTTCATATTTATTTTATTTTAAAAATCAGTAAAAGTCATAAATTATTTTAAAATTAGTTATTTTGTCTTAATAACGTAAAATATTTTTTTAATTTATAAATTTTCGTTGGCTACGGCGTCGTGCTCAAATTTCGTCTTCGTGCGATATGGTCATCATATCAACTCTGTTTTTATCATTTAAAGCAGCGTTATCAGTTGTCTTATATTAAAAAATCTCGGAATTAAAAAAATGTATACTTGGTCTATCGCACTTGCCTGCGCAGTTTTTGTTACTTACGCCACTGCGCCATAGATTGTCATGGGTCTTATCGCCCTTGTGTATAACCATATAGTATGTGGTGGGCTAGGTTGGGCTAAGCATATTGGTCCATAATTTTTCTTGTATAAATATAAGTTTTGTAAATTTTTTTAAGGAGGTCCTTTCGCCACCCCTTTCGCCACCAATGTTAAATAAAAAATATTAGATTATGACTAATATTTATTTTTTTTTCTAATAGTTGAAGTCCTTATTTATCTAATATTGAACTTTTAACTATACCTTACCGTGCAAATGTTTGAGAATTTTTTTTTAAAATGTGAGTATTTGTACAGTGTCTTACGAGAAAATTAGACCTCAACAACAATTATCGAATTATATTATTATTTATTGATTAGATGGAGTAGAAAAAAACTAAAAATAGGATTTTTGAAATATTTAGGTTTTGTTTTTTACAATAAAATATATAGGTTACCTTGGAATTTATTGAGAAATTAATATTAAAAAAAAAATTGAAGTAACCTAGTTGAAAAATTTTTGTGATTTTTTAATATTAATTTCTCAATAAATTCTACGGTAAGCTATATATTTTATTGTAAAAAACAAAACCTAAATATTTCAAAAACCTTATTTTTAGTTTTTTTCTACTCCATCTAATCAATAAATAATAGTAAAATTAATTATAATTCGAAAATTGTTGTTGAAGTCTTACTTTCTCGTAAGACACTGTACAAACACACACATTTTTAAAAAAAAATTTATCAAAAATTTGCACGGTAAGGTATAGTTAAAAGTTCACTATTAGATAAATAAGGACTTCTACTATTAGAAAAAAAATAATTTTAGTCATAATCTATTTTTTATTTAACATTGGTGGCGAAAGGACCTCCTTAAAGAATTTTTTGTTTTTCCCATATCTCTGTATGTACCCCACAACCATCTCTTTCCATTTTCCCCTAGCCATATAATAATCTCTGGAGCTATGCCTTTTCTACTTTGATTTTATGCTTAGCCTCCTCTATTCTCTTTAGATTACTTGAAGTTGATGTTCATTTGTCTCCGTATATATTTGGCATTTCCTCAACCATCGACTTTCTATCAAATTTATTTTTATAGTATTTTTCAGATTTTAATTTAAATTTTTTATTGCTCTTATTTCCTTTCTTCATTTTTCTCGTAATCTTTTTATCCTTGTTTAAAATTTTCTTATTATCGCTCAAGGAATTGTTTTGGTTTTTTTTTTTTCTATATTTATCCTTAACTTCTTGTATTTTTGTCTAAAGATGCTTTCTCTAGCCAGTTTTTTATAATCTAATCTACCTACATGAAAAAATCATCATAATTATATTGCTAAAAAAAAATATACCTACATATTTACGTATTTTTTTAACATACTACTCTGACAATACTGGTAAGTTTAAAACTCTACGCCACTGGCGAGCATATTATGGACACTGTTTACAACGTTGCCAGCCGGTCCTAAGAGATCTGTCTTTCTCTCTTCTACTCACTAACAATTTTAAAACAATAACAGTCCGCAATTGTATGGGATTTATGAATGAAACATTTTGTCTATATGTTGTAATGTCTTTGACCCAGCCTCTATATGTTACAGAAATAATGAGCTATTTACTGAGCCTGTAAAATGTAGATCAAGTGTTTTTATCTGCTTTCCATAGTGATCGTAGATAAAATGTATGTCCTACTTTTTTATTGTTAAATCTGTATAATTTTTTCCTACAACAATAATCTATGTAATTACTAGAAAAAATAGTAAATAAAACTGATTATAAATAGTTTTTTGTACATTTTTGAATTAAATAATAAAGATAAATTATTTGAAAAGTATGCACGTAGTTTTTGACACTCATAATGTAATATAATATTTTCTACGAATAAGACCTAATAAAGAACTTTTAAAATCAAAAACCGATCTATACAGAGATATATTCCCGCCGTATTTCTTTCCTCATATTATAATAAAAAATTCCATATGCCCCCTAACGGCATATAGAAATTCTGTCTTTGAATAAACCACATGATTATAAAAATTCCATACGTCAACATCTCATCTTTGGAAATTAAATTGGATAAAGCTCCGGATCGAGCATTCTAAGTCCTAAATTGGGTGATGTGCCATTTAAGCGAAAAATGTTATACTAGAGATGTTTGACCTAGTTCTATAAAACGAACACCAGATTCAGTAGGTAAACTGTGCCACAGGCGAATCAAGTGATAATATATGAGATCCAAAGATATATCTCCACTCCACAAGATATACAGGGTTTGCCTACTCGGGCGTATTTTACATCAAGTGTCGCACGATATATAAAAATATTACCTACTTGTCTGCGACGTTTTGTTTTTTAGAATACGTAAAAATACAAATGTAGATTTATCCAATATTATCTAGAATCATAGTGCACAGTCTTGCCAAAAAGGCAATCTAGAATAATAATATATTCTACGGAATTTCTCACTTTTTTCTTGTTTTTCAAATTTCTCACCGTAGCTTAGGTTTTATTGAAATTCTATTTAGGGGTTCTTCTAAAATGAATCCAAAATTTGTTTTCTGTCGTTGTTTTAGACAGTCTAGTTAAAACTTGAAGTTTTTAAATGACTTTTTAATGCTATTATTTGATAAACACTCTCCTAAGCGTGGGATAAGAATTACTATTACTAGGACCTTGGCTTACTTTCGATTTAAAACATAATGAACGTATTAAAGCTTTTCAAAAATTTAAAACAACTGGTTTATTTCCCAATTGGGTTTCTTATAAAAATATTCGTAATTTTAATGTATTGGTAGATAGACAAAGCATATTTCAATTCCACTTATCTGGCCAATATTTCCAAAAAAATTTTGTAGTTATTGAAAAACCTACACGTTCATAGCAAGCGCTCCTATAGTATTGTAATTTGTCAATTCTTGGTCAAATAAATTTTTACTTTGCCAAATTTGTTCGTAATGTAACTGTTATATAATGTGTACAACACTGTGTATACTGTGTAATATAATTGTTATAAAAAGATTGAATTCAGTTACTCTCTTTATAATGCATCCCGTATAAATAATATATAATAAACATAAGAATTTAAAAATCTTTTACAAATCGGAAACCGGTCCTGACCCATGGCAACTGCAAATGTAATTTAACGGTTTTTCTGAATTCCAGAAAAACATATTTGCACACCCGCATTTCATTTACAATCATTTTAAGCGCCTAAATACAGTGTTCTCTAGCACAGAAAATTTCCAGTTATTTAAGTACGTGTGATAACTCTGTTACGCTCACAAATCTGTTTTATTCGCACTATTATAAGTATATTTAAAATAGATCGTTAAACACAGAAGCGCAGGTGCAAGTAAAAATATACTATCTTTATCTGCAATCACACAGAACTATCGTGCAATGTTCCCTCAGCCAATCACGACGAGACACACACAATTGCTAGCCTTTCTACACTTACACTCGAAAAACAGACAATAAGATCAACTCTAATTTTCAAGACAGCAGTATCTTTGCTAGTATTCCTTCGCATGCTCAATGCTATTTATCAAAACCAAACAAGAGATGTATTAAACCTGTTTATTATCAGTCATAAAGTTTTAAGCACCATTATATAGTTTTATGAAATAAAAGTAATATTTGTGGTGCAGATAATATTAAATCAACTAAGCTCAAATACTGTTATCCTTTCCATCGACAAATAATTAACAAATATTATTGCTGTATTGAGGTATCTAATTTTCCCAATAATTGGAAGATTGCAATTGGGAAACTATTGTTAAGGTTGGGGTGAAAGTTTTTCTAACCTTAGGATGAGTAGTATATGTATTACCTATGAAACACGGGGGTTTATATCATATGAACAGTATGTAAACACGTTTCTGAGTATGCAACTCCGCGCTTGGGTTCACTCAAAGCAGACTGAAGTCTGTTTTACAATAACAAAATTGTATTAAAATGTAAAGCACATTGAATAATTTAATAACATCTCGCTTAGCAACACATAAAAACTATTGTTTCAAAAATGTTAATTCATATATTACAACAAATTAAAAAAAACATGCCTTCACTTAGTTATTTGTACTATGTGAACCTGGCTTTCTGTCCGTTGCATGACCGCTGGCTGTCCGCTACAGCGGGCTCCAAGCGAGCTGTCAACAAATAACATCAAAAACAAACAATATAGTTATATTATGGTTGTCGAAGAAAACATGTGAGTGAAACTACTTTTATTTATTTTAGTTTAAGATGTTATTTAGTATTATTTGAAATTAAGTAAAGGTATTTTGATGCTTTATCATGTCTTTATTCAGAAACAAAAAACGATATCAAGTTGAAATCTTCAGGTTATAAGGAGATGAAGCCTGTTGATTCTGTAAAAATCTAATTAAACATTAGAATTAAGGGGTCTGTTAAAGTGTTTAGAGTATAAAATAGAATGCCAAGCATTAAATATCTTCATTCTAGTTATTGATAATGATCTTTGTTTTTGCGATTATATTAAAAATATAATTAGAAAATCTTATACTTTACTACATACAGCAATCGCTACTTTCTTAATTAAGTTAAAAGCTCTACTTTGCGAGACACGTACCAGGCTTTTGTGATATTTTCCCAATTATTATTGTTTCCTCAAAATCCAGTATTTAAGAAATATCAAACAGTACTTTTGGTACTTATAAGTTTTTTTTTATTCCGATGATTTTTCTCATCCTCTTTTTGCAAATCGTCATCCTTCTTATTATTCTCGATCCTCGAACCCTTAATGACCAGGCACCTTTACTAGATTGACTTTATTTCGGTCTTCTAATGTCTTCGATGCACTCCAATACCAACTTCGAAGTAATGTTCTCTCTCTATATGGCCCTAAGGGCTCTTTCTATTTTATTTTATTTACACTCTCTGGCTTCTCCTACCTCTTATCTTATATTATTTAATGAACCATAAATAATAAGTAGGTAATTATAATATAAATAATATTGAAGCGTTGGACTACAGCTCCCCTACTCGAGCACAAGTGCCAATATAATCAGAAAAAGCTTCCCTAATTCAAACCAAATAAACATTCTAAATGTTCCAATAACCGTTTAGTATACATGTAAATTAATAGAATGTATATCGAACACAATCCGAGAAAGACATTTCATGCAATTTACAGAGAGATAACAAACTGTCATTTCATTTTCCGCTTCCGACATAACAACCGGTTGGCAGTTCAATTCAACACATAAAATCCGAATAATGGTCCTCCGATGTTCATCATTTCATATCAAGTTGCCTTCCATAAATGGATGATAGTTTAAACGTCAGAATGATTGGTTATATTACAAGAGGTAGATATATAGTGTATATTGTTGTAAAAATAACTGGGTCATTTCACTATTAAAAGTACATTTTTCACTTTATAATAATTGAGAGACATTTTTTAAAAGTAGATCATGTTATACAAAAGATAACTATTGAATCTATAGATTTATAAATTATGTTTTTTCCATTTCTTCCAGTCATGAGTCATATTGATATTTAGCATTTGCATGTGAATATTCCAAAAATATTGTGCATCGGGCTTGCCGAACATATTAAAATGTTTATTAAATAAAAATATTACAGAATATTTTGACTACATTATTTAAAACGTTTCAAATAAAGTCCCTTTACCGGGTATATCACAAAAAATATCCTTAATAAAATACAAAAGTAATAACGGTTTCAAAACTGAGCCATGAGGTGTACCATATGTTTTAATGTAATACCGATAACTTCGATATTCAAATGGTTAAAGAAGTCAATGTAGACTATAACTATATCTAACTTTTCCTATTAGTTACTTAGTCGCAGATGAATTGAAACAAATTTTTCTCTGTCTGTATAATGACCAAAAATAAAGCCTTGTTAAGATCTAAGTAATTGTAATAGAATCTTTAAAACAAATAATTTTTTTTCAGATTCCACAATGCCCTCGTGAGCTACCAGTCCGAGAAACATCCTTTAATGTGCCTCAATACTACAATGGTGTTCGAGACTACTACCATCCCTACGACTACCAAGACTCTCTTGAGTCCTGCTCTTGCAGCTCAGGCTCCGACACATCTAAAACAACCTTTAGAGGTCCATGGTGCGTCTGTCTAGTAATTTGTGTCATAGTAGCAACTCTAACAGCAGGTCTGGGTCTACCGCTAGCATTAAGCCCGCAAATCCCTCCTCAGACCTCAGAAGAAAGGCTCTCTTTAGTTAAAAAATTACTTAAAGAAACGCCTTTGATTGATGGTCACAACGACCTGCCATGGAACCTGCGTAAATTCACTCATAACAAGCTTTTCAAGTTAAACCTTAGCGCAATTAGTGAAGAAGAGCCTTGGTCTACTAGTAAATGGTCGCATACGGACATTCCAAGGCTTCGCCAAGGCTTGTTAGGAGCTCAATTTTGGTCTGCTTACGTGCCTTGTAGGGCCCAACATTTAGACGCTGTTCAAGTAACTCTAGAACAAATTGATGTTATTAAAAGACTGGTGGAATATAATGCTGAGCATTTTTCATTAGTTAGGTCTACTGAGGAGATAAGGAGCGTGCATAAATCAGGGAGGATTGCCTCTTTGATTGGGGTAGAAGGAGGGCATGCTCTGGGCAACTCGTTGGCTGTTTTGAGGACTTTTTATAATTTAGGTGCTAGGTAAGTCTTCTCCTTTTTCATACCTTAATATTATGAATATTTCTTAAGAAATAGCCATTTATATATTAAAAGCGCTAATTGAGTAAAATTATTAAATTTTTTGGGACTACCTTGAGTTAAGACTTTGAGGGTACTAAAGAATTTAATAGCATCTCCTAAAAACAACATGTTAATTAATTGTGACAATACAGTAACAATATTCTCACTAATATCTCATAATTAGTGCAACAGTAAAGTATCAAAGATCTGAATTTATTTGGTAAACGTTCCTTTTGTCACAGTTTCTATTTCACCCTATATATCTACTTTTTCTACGATTGGAAAATATCTACTGAACCGATTGTAAATTAAGTTTTCTCCAAATTTGTTATTGTCCTTATTAGATTTTGGACGAGAAACGCAAGGCAGCAATATACGTATACTCTTGAGAGAATACTGTTTTCTGTTTATCTACTTATATTTCCTTCAAACCTACCCGTTCCGTATCTGCAATTCTATTATAGAATGAACTTTATGGAGTGTAGATAAACTCTAGTTCTAAATTTGTCCATTTTATTATTTCTGGAGTCTTCATTTCAGTCTCTAACGTAAGAAGGGTAAATCGGTAAATTTCAATGATGAGAGCTTTCGACATCGTGAACTAAGTCACTGTTCTGAGTAACCAGTCCATTTGAATTCCCTGGCTAAGATTTCAGTCACGTCGCCTTTAAAATAATATTCGAAACTGCTTGCAATAGGCTACGAGAATACGTGAATATAAAATACAATATCGAGTGCTAGAACTTTGAAAATAACAAAAATTAGTAAGGCTAGAAAAATATTTCTCGTAAAAATATGATTTTTCTTTAAGAAAAATTAACGGCGCTGGGTTTTATCGTACATAGATGGAATCCTCAACCAATATGTTATAGGAATCAGTTAATCAAAAGTACATTATCGAGTGCTAGAACGTAAAAAATATCAAAAAACATTCAGGCTCGAGAGACATTTCCAATAAAAGTGTGAATTCTCCTAACGAAAAACTGTCGGCGCTGGGTTATATGATATATCAGTGAATTACTCAAGCAATAGGCTACGAGAATACGTCAATATAAAATACAATATCGAGTGCTAGAACTTTGAAAATAACAAAAATTAGTAAGGCTAGAGAAATATTTCTCGTAAAACTATGATTTTTCTTTAAGAAAAATTAACGGCGCTGGGTTTTATCGTACATAGATGGAATCCTCAACCAATATGCTATAAGAATCAGTTAATCAAAAGTACATTATCGAGTGCTAGAACGTTGAAAATATCAAAAAACATTCAGGCTCGAGAGACATTTTCAATAAAAGTGTAAATTCTCCTAACGAAAAATTAACGACGCTGGGTTGTATGATATATCAGTGGATTACCCAAGCAATAGGCTACGAGAATACGTCAATATAAAATACAATATCGAGTGCTAGAACTTTGAAAATAACAAAAATTAGTAAGGCTAGAAAAACATTTCTCGTAAAAATATGATTTTTCTTTAAGAAAAATTAACGGCGCTGGGTTTTATCGAACATAGATGGAATCCTCAACCAATATGCTATAAGAATCAGTTAATCAAAAGTACATTATCAAGTGCTAGAACGTTAAAAATATCAAAAAACTTTTCCGCTCGAAATACATTTCCAGTAAAAATGTGATTTCTCTTAAAGAAAAATCATATTTTTACGAGAAATATTTCTCTAGCCTTACTAATTTTTATTATTTTCAAAGTTCTAGCACTCGATATTGTATTTTATATTGACGTATTCTCGTAGCCTATTGCTTGAGTAATTCACTGATATATCATATAACCCAGCGCCGACAGTTTTTCGTTAGGAGAATTCACACTTTTATTGGAAATGTCTCTCGAGCCTGAATGTTTTTTGATATTTTTTACGTTCTAGCACTCGATAATGTACTTTTGATTAACTGATTCCTATAACATATTAGTTGAGGATTCCATCTATGTACGATAAAACCCAGCGCCGTTAATTTTTCTTAAAGAAAAATCATATTTTTACGAGAAATATTTTTCTAGCCTTACTAATTTTTGTTATTTTCAAAGTTCTAGCACTCGATATTGTATTTTATATTAACGTATTCTCGTAGCCTATTGCTTGAGTAATCCACTGATATATCATATAACCCAGCGCCGATAATTTTTCGTTAAGAAAAATCACACTTTTGTTGGAAATGTCTCTCGAGCCTAAAAGTTTTTTGATATTTTCAACATTCTAGCACTTGATAATGTACTTTTGATTAACTGATTCTTACAGCATATTGGTTGAGGATTCCATCTATGTACGATAAAACCCAGCGCCGTTAATTTTTCTTAAAGAAAAATCATATTTTACGAGAAATATTTCTCTAGCCTTACTAATTTTTGTTATTTTCAAAGTTCTAGCACTCGATATTGTATTTTATATCGACGTATTCTCGTAGCCTATTGCTTGAGTAATTCACTGATATATCATATAACCCAGCGCCGACAGTTTTTCGTTAGGAGAATTCACACTTTTATTGGAAATGTCTCTCGAGCCTGAATGTTTTTTGATATTTTTTACGTTCTAGCACTCGATAATGTACTTTTGATTAACTGATTCCTATAACATATTGGTTGAGGATTCCATCTATGCACGATAAAACCCAGCGCCGTTAATTTTTCTTAAAGAAAAATCATATTTTTACGAGAAATATTTTTCTAGCCTTACTAATTTTTGTTATTTTCAAAGTTCTAGCACTCGATATTGTATTTTATATTAACGTATTCTCGTAGCTTATTGCTTGAGTAATCCACTGATATATCATATAACCCAGCGCCGATAATTTTTCGTTAAGAAAAATCACACTTTTGTTGGAAATGTCTCTCGAGCCTAAAAGTTTTTTGATATTTTCAACGTTCTAGCACTCGATAATGTACTTTTGATTAACTGATTCTTACAGCATATTGATTGAGGATTCCATCTATGTACGATAAAACCCAGCGCCGTTAATTTTTCTTAAAGAAAAATCATATTTTTAGGAGAAATATTTCTCTAGCCTTACTAATTTTTGTTATTTTCAAAGTTCTAGCACTCGATATTGTATTTTATATTGACGTATTCTCGTAGCCTATTGCTTGAGTAATTGACTGATGTATCATATAACCCAGCGCCGATAGTTTTTCGTTAAGAGAAATCACATTTTTACTGGAAATGTATTTGGAGCTTGAAAGTTTTTTGATATTTTCAACGTTCTAGCACTCGATAATGTACTTTTGATTAACTGATTTTTATAGCATATTGTTTGAGGATTCCATCTATGTACGATAAAACCCAGCGCCGTTAATTTTTCATTAAAAAAACAATATGTTTTTTGTGTTAGGTATTACTTTAGCATACAAATATAATAATTCCAACAATCCAGCACTCGATATTGTTTTTTTGATTGATGTGTTCTTGTACCTTATTACTTGAAGAATCTATTTATGTATGATTTAATCCAGCGCCGATCATTTTCTGTTAAGAAAAATTTGAATATATATTTAAAGTTTTTTTTTAAAGTACCTATATTCATATCAATTTTACTAATATTTTTTTCCCAAATACGGATATCCTCACTTTGTTATTATCATTAATATTTTTATTATTACTAATATTATTATAATAAGACAAATTAAGTAGTATTATTGCTTTATTTTGTGAAATCTAAATTGTACGTATTTTCTCACACAGGCTGCTAACTCTGGCTGCTAGTTTCAGCTTCATAAGATATTACACAAAATTATTTAAATTAACTAAAAACATACAAATGAAGTGAATAATACCTACCAACAATTTAAAAAGACCTAAAATAAATAGACTTAAGGGACTGGAGCTCTAAAAAAGGGAGCAATAATTTGTTATGCATCATCTATAAGAAAATTGTCTTCATCTCTTTAATTACCTTTTAAAATAAATAAAACTAAAACAGCACAAAATTGAAAGTGATCTACTTTTCCTGACGAATTTTATGTACATCTGAGACTAATAATTTATTAATTTGAAATATTTTATCCTAAAAATATGGGCATTTTATAATGGAAATGTCATTTAAGAAATGACATTGATTTTTTTTTCTTATATTGGTAAACCTGGTGACTACAAGTTGCCACGTTGCCAGATCAATGGCGACTACTATGTGACTACTATTTCGAAAAAAATGGCGTCCAAAATGGACTCCTATGTCGCAACCCCCTTAGATATACTAGCCCTGGTCAGAACCAAACTATTGGGATTGCAACCCAAACCTACATTTCTTTTGGGTACGGACGACTTTAGGTCCAGTGGAATTTTAAAGAAATTTATTTTTTATCAGAAAGAGCGTATTTTAAATAGTACATTTAAAAAAAAATTGCGGTAAATGCATTATTTAAGCCAAAAAAATTATTTAATTTCTATAAAAATCAGCATTTTGACGACTGTAAACATGGAAACTCGATGGTTTCTGTCAAATTTAGAAAATATAATTGCAACGTTGCCGGATTGTGATAAAATTAGTAGTTAATGGAAAATTGTGATTGCGCATACCGGTCCATAAATATGCAACAAGAAAACGAAGCAACGACTTATCGTAGGGTGGCGGCGACCGGCATAGACTCCAGCGGCCTGGACACAGCTCAAATTGAATTGAAAACGTAAACTTTTTTACATAATTTCTTGCGATTGCGCATAACAGTCCATAAATATGCAAAAAGAAAACGAAGCAACGACTTCGCCGCCACCCTACGATAAAAAAAATCATCCCATACCTGGCTACGCCGACCGACATAGACTCCAACGGCCTGGACACAGCTCAAATTGAATAATTGAAATGAAAAATCTCAAATAAATACATTTCTGTTCTGGTTTTATCATCTGGCCTGGAGCTATTGACAACACAGCCAATGTCATTCCTGTTAGTTACGTTCTTTTACTATGTTTGACAACACCACATTTATAGAAATAAAAATGTCATTTGTCATATTA